CAGACTGGATCTGTTCTGCAGCCGTCGGCCAAGGGCCGACCGTTGACCGCTTTGTTGCTTGCGCACGGAGAGCCGTGTTGGTATGCGAGTGTTGCTCCCATTATCCGCTGGTCTAAGGAGATCTGGTGGGCCCATCATCGGGTGCATCGGCACACCTTGTCTCTGCCTGAGCTTCGCGCTGCTTGGCGGGCTGGTTTCAGTGGAGAATCCCCGCTGTGGCGAAGTGTCTCGGGGCCTGTCACGGCTCTTCGGAAGTCTCTGGAGCGCATTTCCTGGGCGATGCCTGCCTTCGGGATCCTGGTCACCGATTTTGGGGAGGAGCTCAAGCTTACCGGGCTTTCCCCCCAAATGGTCCGCACGCTTTTGCGTAAAGCTGTTTTGAGGGGCCTCGAGTGGGACCTGGGGGCCAGGCTCAATATGAAGGGGAGAGCTTGTGTTGAACCTGTCCTCAGCTACCTCCACATCTCCAAATATACCCCCTTTTCAGAAAGGTTGTTTGAAAGCTCTTCTTTGCCAGGCGATTTACACCCGCCAACGGGCGGCCAGCCTGGGTTGCGTGCTGTCTACTACGGTATGCCCTCTCTGCGGTGATGGCTTAGACACGCTTAGACATCGCCTCTGGGAATGCAGATTCCCCGAGGTAGTCGCTTTGCGTGATCAGTTAGTTCGTCAGGATATCAAGGAATGGGCTACTAAGGCGGATGACAACTTGGCCTGCTATGGCGTCTTCCCCCCACCCCGCTAACTTCCCGCAGCCCCTCGTGGAGGGGGGCATCAAGGTGGACTGGGTGGAGGAGGAGGGCGACATTGTCAGGAGTTTCGAGGGGGACATGCTTGTGGACGGCTCTTGTACCCGTTACAAAGCTGGCGATTTAAACCGCGCTGGTTGGTCGATCGTGGTTGTGTCCAAAGAAACGGGGAATGCTATTGTGCGAGTGAAAGGTCCAGTGTGGGCGCCGTGCCCACAGACGCCGCAGGCTGCAGAGTATCACGCCATGTCAGTTGCTGTGCAATGGGCGACGGGCCCATCCACGATTTTTTCCGATTGCCAGGGCTGTGTGGATTTTGCACAGCTGCCGTGGCCTGAGATGTGCTCGGGCAAGCGCATGTATAGTGGCATGGCTCAGCATTTGAAGGGTCACTGGTCTCATGTGCAGCTGGAAAAAGGTCAAGGCCCATTTAGACGTCCGTGATGCCACCGATGATCGGGATCGGTATTTGCGGCAAGGCAACGATTGGGCTGATAAGACGGCCAAGGAGGCGGTGCTCTTGCATCCTATGCCGTCGGCCGCCGAGCTCGAGGGCCTTGATCAGGATGTTGCTATTGCCAGAGCCGTCGGCCGACTAGGGGCAAAGTTGCTTCCTCTCTGGCCCCGCTTAGTGTTGGGTCCCACTGTCCAGCGTGTTCCTCCTCCCCCTGTGGAGCGTCAGCAGGGGGAGAAAATGTGTGCCCATCAGTGGAGCTGGGTGGATACCTACTGGCAGTGTGCTGCGTGTCTGCGAGGCAAGCGCGGCATGCCTTCGACCCAGCCGCCTGCTGGGAAGTGTGACGCTGTCCTGAAAATTTCACCTGCCAGGCTCCGTGCGCTCGGACACGTGTGCGTGCTGCTCGATTGCTCTGACGGGCCCTTCATTCGTATTTGTCACAAGTGCGGGTATATGACGTCGGGGGGCCAATTGAGGAACCTTGACAAGAAGTGTGAGCCAGACAAAGTGGCCACACACAGTAATCCGTGGAATAAGTTGAGGAAGGGGCTCCATCCGAAAAAGTGGGGGGTCTCTGTCGATTTAAGCACGTTTTGCCATCTTTAAGGTTTTGCTTGCGTGCCCTTCTTTCTTCCCAGCACGGCCCGATGCGTCTGGCCCTTTTGGCAGGCATCCGTGCTCTATCCCACATCTGGGGCGAGGTCTCCAGTCGTCCTGGTGCTTGCTGCACAGGGGCTGGAGGCCTCGTCGTCCTTGTGTGGGTGGTCGTGTTTTATTATTGTGTGTCTCCGCTTTTTATTCTTTCGTGATGTTTGGGCTTTACATCTGGGGCGAGGTTTTGTCCTCCAGGCGCATCAGCACCTGGGGCAGGCCTCGTCCTCCTTTTGTTGGCCTTTCTTATGCGCTGTTCGTTCGTGTCCGCACGTGTGCCAGGCACCCCGCTTCAGGGGGAAGATGCGCGCATAGGTGAAGGTTTTCTTTCGGTGGAGCACGGGGGTAAATTTATCCCGACTGTCGCTCCAATGGCGTATGCTGTGGCCAAGTGTGCTGTCCCTGGCCCCAGCGCCTGGCCCTCCGCTCTGTTCGTGCGCGTGCACGCGTGCGTTTCGTGTGGTGGGGCCTACTGCTCTGGTGTTCGAGGGCTATCGCCCCATTGTCTTTTGTTGGAGGTGTTGCTGTGGTCAGGAGCTCTGGCTCCTAGCCCCAACACACTCGCAGCCCAGCGCCTGGCTGAATTCCGCTTGTCCTCTTGTACAGTCGAGGGCCTGCGGGCTTTGAGGCACTTCCACTTGCA